CTTGCTAGCGGGCAGCGTCGACCCGAACTTGCCGACCCGAGACGGCCGGACGCCGCTGCACCTAGCTGCTGTCGCGGGGCAGAAAGCGCCGGTGTTGAGCTTGCTAGAGCACGGTACCACCATCGACGCACGGGACGCAACGGATGAGTCGCCACGTGTCGAGGCCTCTTGCAGAGGCAGGCAAGCTATCGTGGAGACCCTGCTCTCCAAGGGGGCCGCCGCCAACCTCCGAGGAACCGTTCCGCTACGCTAGTCTGCGCTCGACAGAGTCCCACGAGAAAGTCACGCCGAGGTCATCGGTGTCCTCATCCGGGGCGGGGCCACGGTGAGCGGGCAAGACAGTCGAGATTCCAACTGTGCTCCGTTGCGATGGGTTGTTACGCCCGATCCAGGATGTCCAGCATCACGACTCTTATTGTTTCATGAAAGTTCATCCCCAAGGAACTTCATGATAGCACGAAGTGCCCCCTCACGCTGTTGGCGTGTCAGCCACCCCACCACACCGCCGAGCCTGCCACCCGCCCTGGTGACACCATCCTCGAAGCTCTAGCGCACACGGACGCGGCGGTCTTCACCTCCGGCATCCACGTCCCACAAAGAGCGTTTGGGGCACCACCTGTATTTCCCTCAACATAATCTCAACCAAGTGGTTTTTGTCTGCGAGGCAAGAGCGAGAAGCACAACGAGCCAGCAACGGCGACGCCACAACCTGTCTGCCTGGGCACGAGACAGCAGCAAGCGGACGCGGCCAACTTCGTCGAGCTCATGCTGCGAACATTCGCGCCCCCCGCCTTAGATGATTCAACAATTTCTGCGGGGTCTGGGCTCTTTTGTCCAGTGCCGATTCGTCCGCGCCCCATCGCAGCAGGAGATCTACCGGCCAGCAGGAGCTCCTGCTGGCCGGTAGATCTCCTGCTGCGATGGGGCGCGGACGAATCGGCACTGGACAAAAGAGCCCAGACCCCGCAGAAATTGTTGAATCATCTAAGGCGGGGGGCGCGAATGTTCGCAGCATGAGCTCGACGAAGTTGGCCGCGTCCGCTTGCTGCTGTCTCGTGCCCAGGCAGACAGGTTGTGGCGTCGCCGTTGCTGGCTCGTTGTGCTTCTCGCTCTTGCCTCGCAGACAAAAACCACTTGGTTGAGATTATGTTGAGGGAAATACAGGTGGTGCCCCAAACGCTCTTTGTGGGACGTGGATGCCGGAGGTGAAGACCGCCGCGTCCGTGTGCGCTAGAGCTTCGAGGATGGTGTCACCAGGGCGGGTGGCAGGCTCGGCGGTGTGGTGGGGTGGCTGACACGCCAACAGCGTGAGGGGGCACTTCGTGCTATCATGAAGTTCCTTGGGGATGAACTTTCATGAAACAATAAGAGTCGTGATGCTGGACATCCTGGATCGGGCGTAACAACCCATCGCAACGGAGCACAGTTGGAATCTCGACTGTCTTGCCCGCTCACCGTGGCCCCGCCCCGGATGAGGACACCGATGACCTCGGCGTGACTTTCTCGTGGGACTCTGTCGAGCGCAGACTAGCGTAGCGGAACGGTTCCTCGGAGGTTGGCGGCGGCCCCCTTGGAGAGCAGGGTCTCCACGATAGCTTGCCTGCCTCTGCAAGAGGCCTCGACACGTGGCGACTCATCCGTTGCGTCCCGTGCGTCGATGGTGGTACCGTGCTCTAGCAAGCTCAACACCGGCGCTTTCTGCCCCGCGACAGCAGCTAGGTGCAGCGGCGTCCGGCCGTCTCGGGTCGGCAAGTTCGGGTCGACGCTGCCCGCTAGCAAGCCGACCACCAATGGCACAGTGACAGCCCCGCACAACAGTGCCGCTGGCGGCGGTGTTGCTGCGGCCAGAGGGTCATGTTGTCCCGAGAGTATCGGCTGGGGATGTTGCCAACCTCAACCACTTCCTCAACCTGCTCGGTATAGCAATGCATGCAGCAGTGGAAGGGGGGCGTGCCACTCTTGGTGTGAGGGCCTCTCTCTAGACAATAGGCTGCGGGCCGGAGACAACACAACGTCGAATTCGGGGTAAGGGCAACCGTCGTATTCTGGGCTCAAGTACACCAGCCTACAGCAACAAATAGGATACGTTGCCAACGGAAAGCCCAAAAACAGAGAGGTTTACGAGAGATGTGTCAGATGCTGTTGTCGAGAACTTGCCGAGAGAGAAGTTTTTCTGGAAAGAAAACAGGGGAAAGGAGAGTCTAGAAGTATGCGGAATGTTGAAAGAAGGAACAGGGCTCAAAGGGGCACCTACATGGACCAATGGATGCAGAGACCAAGCTGAAGGTCATGTTTTGGACTGGGGGCATTGGCCTTCGAGAGCGTAGGCAAAGTTTCGGAAGGTAGGCAAAGACGATGACAAGTTCAACTGTGAATGCGATGCCGCGTGCGAAGACCAGATTTGTTGTGTGTTGCAGAATGTCCGTTCTACGAAAAGGAGAGAGAAATGTTCCATGACTGAGGTGGGAAAAATAGAAGGGAGTTACAGAGAGATGTTTGAGGCATGGATACTTGTAGCCAGGAGAAGACGATAGCTATACTGGGGTAGCCGAACTGAGAAGGCGGGAAGTGACGTAGGTAGGACACATAGGATCGGACAACATGTTTGAGCCACCGTTTGCAATAAAGGAAGGAACGATTAACCATCGACAATCGGTCCTTCGAGAACAACGCTCCGTCCTCTCGAAGACGCGTGGTCAATGAGCTACCAGCTAAGGCGTGCACAACATGAGTAAGCCCCCCCCCACCCTGCTTGTCGATCCACTTTGACCGCGGCCTCTGGACGTAGTAGCGTGGTCACGGCATTTGACGTTGCTGTGGCAACAAGGGACGTGCCGAGAGAAAGGCGCTGGTCCCGAGTATGGCATACCCCCTTTCCCCTGCACCCTGCAATGCTGTGCCGAGCAGGTTGAGGAGATGGTTGAGGTTCGAAGCAACCCCAGCCGACACTCTCGGGGCCAGGCTATAGCTCTGATCGCTGCAACGCTGCCAGGAGTCGCCACTGCTGGGCGGTGCCGTCACCACCAAATGGTGATCGGCTAGCTAGCGGGCAGCGTCGACCCGAACTTGCCAACCCGAGATAGCTGGACGCCGCTGCCCCTCAAATATCTCGCGGGGCAGAAAGCGCTGGTGTTGAGCTTGCTAGAGCACGGTACCACCGTCGACGTACGGGACGCAACGGGTGAGTCACCACGTGTCGAGGCCTCTTGCAGAGGCAGGCAAGCTATCGTGGAGACCCTGCTCTCCAAGCGGGCCGCCGCCAACCTCCGAGGAACCGTACCACTACGCTAATCTGCGCTCGACAGAATCCCACGAGAAAGTCACGCCGAGGTCATCGGTGTCCTCGTTCGGGGCGGAGCCACGGTGAGCGCCCAAGACAGTCGAGACGTCACCGAGTAGTGCGGTGACGCCTCGGCGGTCTTGGGCGCTCACCGTGGCTCTGCCCCGAAGGAGGACACCGAATACCTCGGTATTTCTTCTTGTGCGACTCTGTCGAGCGCAGATTAGTACAGCGTACCGGTTCCTCGGAGATTGGTGGCGGCCCCCTTGGAGAGCAGGGTCTCCATGGTAGTGGACTTGCCTAGGAGGCCTCGACCAGTGGTGACTCACCCCTCGCGTCTCGTGCGTCAACGGATGCACCGTGATCTACCATGCCCAACACCAGCGCTTTCTGCCAGGTGAAAGAATTGAGTTGGAGCGGCGTCCGGCCGCCTCGGGTTTGCGCGTTGATGTTGCCGGAGCTGCCCGCTAGCAAGCTGACCACGATTTGGTGGGGATCGCCCCGCACGCACAGTAACAGCTAGTAGATGCTCCTGGCGGCGGTTTGGCTGCTGCGGGCAGTGACAGCCCCACCGACAGCAGCAGCAGCAGCAGCAGCAGCAGCAGCAGCAGCCCGAGCAGCAGCAGCAGTGACGCCGGCGGTGCCGGCGGCCCGGGCGGCGAAGAGTCCGGCGACCCAGGTGGGGACGGCGGTAGCGATGGTGATCCCGGCGACTCCGAGAACAACGAATAAGTTATGTTGCCACCAGAAAGCGCACAAAGTAGAGAGGCTTAAGAACGACATGTCAGATGCTGTTGCCGAGAACTTGCCGAGAGACAAGAAATGAATCTTTTGAGAGAAAACAGGGAAACTGAGTATGGCATCTCCCCTTTCCCCTGCATTGCTGTGCGGAGCAGGTTCAGGAGATGGTTGAGATTGGGAGCAACCCCAGCCGATGCTCTCGGGGCCAGATCATAGCCCTGGTCGCAGCAACGCTGCCAGGAGCCACAACTGCTCTGCGGAGCCGTCACCGCGAAATGGCGATCGGCTTGCTAGCGGGCAGCGTCGACTCGAACTTGCCGACCCGAGACGGCAGGACGCCGCTCCTCCTAGCTGCTCTCACCGGGAACAAAGCGCTGGTGTTGGGCTTGTTAGGACACGGTACCACCATCGACGCACGGGACGCAACGGGTGAGTCGCCATGTGTGGAGGCCTCCTACAGAAGCAGGCAAGCTATCGTGGAGACCCTGCTCTCCAACGGGGCCGCCGCGGACCTCCGAGGAACCGTTCCGCTGTACTAATATGCGCTCGACAGAGCCCCACGAGAAAGCTACGCCGAGGTAATCAGTGTCCTTACCCGGGGCGGAGCCACGGTGAGCGCCCAAGACCGCCGAGGCGTTACCGCACTACTCTATGACGTCTCGACTGTCTTGGGCGCTCACCGTGGCTCCGCCCCGGGTAAGGACACTGATTACCTCGGCGTAGCTTTCTCGTGGGGCTCTGTCGAGCGCATATTAGTACAGCGGAACGGTTCCTCGGAGGTCCGCGGCGGCCCCGTTGGAGAGCAGGGTCTCCACGATAGCTTGCCTGCTTCTGTAGGAGGCCTCCACACATGGCGACTCCGTCCCGTGCTTCGATGGTGGTACCGTGTCCTAACAAGCTCAACACCAGCGCTTTGTTCCCGGTGAGAGCAGCTAGGAGGAGCGGCGTCCGGCCGTCTCGGGTCGGCAAGTTTGAGTCGAAGATGCCCGCTAGCAACCCGAAAACCATTTGGTGTTGACCACCCCGCATGGCAGTGCCGCTGGCGGCGGTGTTGCTGCGGCCAGAGCTTCATGTTGTCCCGAGAGTATCGGCTAGCAGTATTAGGAGTACCTTCTGGGGTCACTTCGGGCGGCGCACGGAAACGCCACGGACCCAGTGGTGTGGCCGGGGTGTCATCGCTCTGCCCCTCCCCCGGTTCCCGCGTTCGAAGATTTAACATCCAAGAAGAAGGCGCCCGTAAAGAGCGGCGGTCGCGTGAGCGGCGGCGGCGATTCGGGCGACAGCGACAGTAGCCACCTCCGCGGGTCTACGTCTTCCAACCGTGGTCGCGCCCAGCCGTCTTCTTCAGCGTCCAGCTCTTCAGAGCGCGCGGACAAGAAAGGAGTAAAGAAGAAGAGCCGCACCTCCCGCCCGTCTTCGGACACGACGGGAGGAGCATCCTCGGATTCCGGTTCGGAACGTAGCCTTCCTCGGAAGACTTCTTCGGGCAGGGTATCCAGGCACGTAGTACCGTCTCTCGTGGATGTTGCTTCTGACGATCGTCTTAACGCTCTTTTGCGTGATGGTTATCTTGTGTTTTTGTTGCGTGGTAAGGACAAGTCTGTCGAGTTGACAGATTCTCGTGGTGTGGCAAATAAGAAACCGTCTATTAAGACCGAACCCAGTGGAGTTGCTGTCGAAGCTGCTCCCCCGTCTGTGAAAATTGAGCCCCTCGCCATAGCGAGTGCGCCAACCGATGATAGTGTTTTGCCGCTTTCTTCCACCACTGCTCACGCTCGACACGCAACGGTTGCCGCTGCTGCCTCGACAGTAGATGCCGCACATATTGCTCGTGTCCAACGTGAGTACATCACCCTCAATCCTAAAAAAGTTGAGCGTGTTGCCACTATGCCTTTCCCTGCGTCTTTGCTGCCGGTTGATGCGTACCAGCAGCTCATTCGCACCGTTCGATCTGCGCTCACAGATATATTGCTGCTGTGTGATGATCGTAGCGTAGGTTTGACGGACGCCGATTTTGTCCGAGGTTGGGAGCGCCCTCTCGAAAAGCGAATTTTGAGTGCAATCTCCCCTGACAAACCTACTGCATCCGACCTTGTCCTCTCCATTTCTGATTATTTTTAGCAAGTGAAGCGGAGGCTGGACGACGGAGCCACGGGCACGGATGCCTTCACGCTCCTTCTGCGGCTGCTGTCGGAGCAATTCGATGTCGGAGATCGACAGGAGTCGTTTTTGCGACTTCAGCAGTTTGGTGTTTCGAATGGAACTTTGTTTGCGGATTACCTTAGGGCGTTCCGTCTTTTGGTTTCTTCGGTGACCGGGTCTGAGCGTGTTTTGGCTCCTAGTGTATCGATGGTGCTTGAGATCGTCAGGAATTCTGTAAGTAAGCAGTTTCCGTCTTTAGCTCCGATGTTGTACCCTGGTGACCTGGCTACGGCCGTGACACCATTTGATTCGATTGATGCAATGCGGCAGGCGTTCGCGCCTTTGGCCACCAATAAAACCTCCGCAATAGGAGGTTCAAAGTATTTTCTTTGTCTTCCACGCCTGGCTCTTCGCAGCCCCGGCGTTCCCAGAACCGTGCCCCTGCACCTGCGCCTTCGGGCCGGTGGGCACAAGGTTCTGCACACAATCCTGTTGTTTTGGCAGTTCAGTCACAGGATGGCGGTAATCATCCGTTTTCCCGCGATTACAATGCGTGGCCCGCTAAACAGGGCGATTGGTCAGATGTGCACAAGTCAGTTCCTCTTTTCGCAACACCGGTGATCCCTTTTTTGTGGACGCCTCTCTTGACACAAGACGCTCGCTCGCACGCGTTTCGAGAGAACCGAAACCGTTGTTTGAACTGATCTAGTGAAGACCACTCCATGAAACACTGCCCAGCTCCTTTTTACGAATACTAGTGGTCTGCTCAACCCAGAACTAGGCGAGCTGCAAGACAACTCCGACGCTTTCCGACGTTGGCAAGGTCGCATGCGGTCTTACCGTCGTAAGTCACACACCGGTTCGGGTGGTGGTGGTGGGCGTAACAAACGTCATTCTTCGTCCTCGCGTCGAAATCACGCAGGCGACTACCGTAACAACGGTAATTCCCAGAATGATGGTCGCAACACTGGAAACTATGCTAACACATCTCGACAGTCGTCTTCAGACAACACCCACCACACTGGTGCCCTGTCTACATACAGACCGCAGTCATCGGCTCAGACAGGCTCTCCAGGTATATTTGTCTCGTCGAATTACAACGCTAGACAACCGGGCGATTTCCAATCTGGCGGTCAGAATGGCCACAATGCTCGTGGTTCCAACTGACCCGTCGGTGGCGGTTCGTGTACCTCCCCCGACCCGCCTTCGGCACCATCGGGACATTTTGCGCGTTTTTCACAAGATGTACGTGTATCAGGGATGGTGGAGCGAAGTGCTCCTGCCCTGCGAAATGCTGGTATCATTACACCCGCTGATTCTTGTTTACGTTCTGTCGCTAGGACTGGGAATGCACAGGACCAGGCTGTTCCCCTTTTGCCCTTCGACACTTCGCCTGCGGCCTCTGCTACTTCGCCTCGTTCGATGGCTCCTCTTTCGGGAAATGACTCCCCCGAGACGAGTGCCGTCTTGAGGTGTGGGAACAGAGCGACCAGAAGCGCGGGACCACCGAGTGTAGTTCGGCAGCTCCCCCCGGCGTCTGCAGGTAAGACCGGCAAGAGCAACGCGCTTTGTGCGATTGAGGAGGATTCGTCAGAAGTGGTCAATTCTGATGCGACTTCTGATACGTGTGATTCGTCTGCGCTCGCTGCCGCCGTTGATCCGCCAGCCGCCGCAACACCGGTAGCGGTTTCGTCTTGTTCCGACCGACGACTCTCGCCCGGTGAGGCTACGCAGACCCCACCAATTTCCAACGCGAACGATCGTGCAGAGACGCAAACCAGGAACGTTCCGCGATCGACGTTGAGAGTGTTGACAGCACCGTCTCCAGAGGACGCTTCAGAGACGCCCGCCGTAACTACGGTATGCTCGCGATCCTTGTCACGGAGGACCGGGCAGGAGCACCTTGCACCGTCCACAGTTGTATTGACAGACACCGCATTGGTGGCCGCTTCTAGCGAAAGCAATCTATATTCCCCCCGATCCAGTACGGATGCGGGTACGGTCCAAGATCTAGAAACGGACAGCCCTATACGAAGCGTGGCGGCCCCGTTTATCTCGGCGAATTCGGCAGTGGATTCGAATTCTCCGATGGACCCACCCCCTGAATTAGGCAATTTAGCAATGGATGTAAATTCCCTTGCCCATACCCCTGACACTGGCCCATCTGCGAAAGATGTCGGCCTTGCTGCTGTCCAGGCGTATCCCACTTCAGGTCCTCAAGCAGTGGATATCAATCCTGCTCTTACTCCTAGTCATCATCCGTCCTCGGAGGGCGTTGATTACGATGCTACTCAGGAGTATTCCAATTCAGACGTAGTCCTATTTTGGAAATCCCCTTCTCCCTTCTGCCAATGGACTCCTTCTACCTTTGTTGTTCGTGGTGTTTCCTGTGTGTGTGCAGAGCAATTTTTTGCTGCAGAAGAAGCTCGCCTTTTTGGCGACCGCGAATGTTTGCAGAACATTATGAGAGTTTCAGACCCCCGCCTACATAAACAGTATGGCCGTGCGGTCCAAAAATTTAACCAAACTCTCTGGCTGCAAGAGCGCGAAAATATCGTGCTGACCGGTTCTTACGCTAAATTAAGCCGAAATCCAGAGATTAGACTACACCTCCTTGGTTCCGGCGATAAACTTTTAGCAGAAGCCAGCCCTTGGGACCTCATTTGGGGGATCGGCCATCCGGCTGATCACCCTGACGCTTGTCGTCCGTCCCGTTGGCGCGGTCAAATTTGTTGGGAATAGCTTTACAGAAGGTTCGCCTACTTTTACGATCAAACGCCCCACCGCCAGAACGCAGTTCTCGCTTGTCGGCTTTGGGTAAAACACCCGCGCCGCCATCGGATCGCCGTACCGAAGTTAACCCTTCCACACATGAACGGTTATCGACGGCGTCAGTGCCGCCGTCGTCGGCGCGTTTTGCGAAATTCTCGCAATACGCCACTAGTGTGCCGTCCGATCACGACACCAGCGTTTGGGCTGTGTCTCGGGGTGCTGACCATTCTGGTCCTCCGTCGCCTTTGCTCCCTGAGCAAGGTCCGAGTTTAGTCGGCGGTGTCATCACCGTTGACGATTACTCTTTCACTACACGAATCCTAACCCATTGTGGCTTGGCTTCTACGCAATATGGATACGCCGCTTTGTTGGACACTGATTCGGCACAGACTTTTGTTAGTTCTCGGACTTGGGAGACCATAAAAGCCAAGGGTGCAGCTTCATCGCTATTTGAGAAACGCACTCAATCTCGTTGTTGGGGTGGGTTTGGCGAGTCCGCCCCCCTTCAAACGACGAAAATTCCCGACAGCATCTCTCGCCGTTTGGGACTATGTTGTGCCTGACGGTGTTATGCAACATGATGTATTGCTCGATAGAGATAGTTGGACGCGGTTTAGCGACCGCTCCTACCGTGCCTTGCCGACGAGACGCCCTGGCGATCGCGTTTTTGGAGAATTGACTTTGGCCCATCATAAGCAGGGTGACGCTGAAGCTTTCGTTCATCATGTCTCTGCCCAGGAGGGAGGTTTCCAGCTTCGGTATGCTGGCCGGCATTCTATTCAATTACTACCTGAACATCAACTTGTCCCAGTTGATTTGGTTCGCAGTGACGGTTCTCCTGCTCTTGTAGGCAACTATATGGTGGATATGTTTCCGCAAACATCCATGTTTTCTTCCGAAGAACATTTCGTCACTCATGGCCGCCGACGCGTGCCATTGGCGGGTGTTTTGAGTTTGGTACCAGGAGATGTTTTGGGTACCGCTTCGGCGCCCCTTCTCAAAGTCCCCCTTAGTGCGTTTCCGTGCGACAACGTCAACGATGGTCTTCCGGCCGCTGCCGTTCCGCAGACTCCCGATGATAGGATCCTTGGTCCTGCCTGTAGTAATAACGGGTGCCGTTCGGGAGTNGCAAACATCCATGTTTTCTTCCGAAGAACATTTCGTCACTCATGGCCGCCGACGCGTGCCATTGGCGGGTGTTTTGAGTTTGGTACCAGGAGATGTTTTGGGTACCGCTTCGGCGCCCCTTCTCAAAGTCCCCCTTAGTGCGTTTCCGTGCGACAACGTCAACGATGGTCTTCCGGCCGCTGCCGTTCCGCAGACTCCCGATGATAGGGTCCTTGGTCCTGCCTGTAGTAATAACGGGTGCCGTTCGGGAGTGTCACAGGCGGATCATACGTCTGTATATAATCTGCACGGGCAGACCGACAAACAGCCAAGTGCGGCGACTGGTCCCGATTCTTCGGATACGACCTTTTCTTCGCCACCTTTGGCCCTTTTGGCACGTTTAACATCGGAACAACGTGTTAGCTTCTCTCGGGTGTGGGACAAACTGCCACACCACTTGCGAAAAATTACGTTTCACCTGGNCTGTATATAATCTGCACGGGCAGACCGACAAACAGCCAAGTGCGGCGACTGGTCCAGATTCTTCGGATACGACCTTTTCTTCGCCACCTTCGGCCCTTTTGGCACGTTTAACATTGGAACAACGTGTTAGCTTCTCTCGTGTGTGGGACAAACTGCCACACCACTTGCGAGAAATTTCGTTTCACCTGCATGGTCCTGGTTGGACGCCGGCCGTAATTACGGAGTTGGGTAATGTTCTGTGTGAATACCATGACGTGTTTTCCAGTTCGCCCACGGATTTCGGTTCTTGTTCATTGTTTCCGTTCAAGTTGGCCGTTCCCCCTGGCAGTGAGCCAATTACATCTCGCCCGTACCGAGTTAGCCCTCCAGTTGCGAAACAGGTGGACGCTATTCTCAACCAATACCTTGCCGCGGGTCTTATGCAACACTCGACGTCTCCATACTCGAGTCCTTTGGTTATCATACCCAAGAAATCTGGTGGTGTTCGCATCACCGTGAATTATCGCAAGCTGAATAAGCTATGTCCTCTTAGTCAGCTCCCGATCCCTCGAGTTGATGATACTCTGGGCAAATTGTTGAAGGGAAAGATCTATTCTCTCTTTGACACGAAGTCTTCGTTCCATTAAATCACGGTTCATCGTGATACCATCCCTCTCACGGCGTTTGTTACGTCTTCTGGGCTTTTTGAGTGGTTGAAAATGCCGCAGGGCAGTGCTGCTGCCCCAGGATGGTTTTGCAAGGTCGTCAACGAAGTCACCAAAAATCTTCGAGGTGTTGCGTCATATTTGGACGACCTCATCGTTTTTGATGCGACCCCAGTCGCTCATGTAGCGACCATTCGCTCCCTTTTCGAAAGGTTGCGTGCACACAATTTGAAACTGACCCCTCCGAAAGCTACAATTGGCGCCACAGAAGCCGAGTTTCTTGGGCACACTATTTCTCCGGACGGTGTTCGACCAAATGGTGACAAAGTTATTGCGCTCACCAAGATGCCGATGCCCAAAGACACCAAGCAGCTTCGAGCTTTGCTGGTGGTCTCAGCTATTACCGGAAATTCCTCCCACAGATGGCTAAGCGTGTTCGCCCCCTTACGACTCTTCTGAAGAAGAATGTGAAGTTTGAGTTTACGGATTCAATGGAATCCGCCGTCAGACAACTTCTCGCAGAACTCGCGAGCCCCCCTGTTCTGGTGTATCCGGATTGGGATGCTGTATCCGACGGTTCGCGTCCTTTTCGCCTCTATTGTGACGCGAGTAAAGATGGGTTTGGCGGGACTTTGGAACAAGAGCAACCTGATGGTTCTGTTCGCCCAATTGTATTCGTTAGTCGAACTACTTTAGAGTCTGAGCGCCATTGGACTCCTCTGGATCTTGAAGCTGGCAGTATCGTTTGGTGCGTCAAGGGCCTTCGTGGTTATTTATGGGGCACCCATTTCAAGATCTTCACGGACCACAAATCGCTTGAACACCTTGCGAAGGTGGGGGAAACCAACGCCCGCGTTCAACGTTGGCTGGAATTCCTCACAGCGTACTCTTACACTCTTGAGTATCGCAAGGGTTCGTCAAACGGCAACGCCGACTTCCTTTCTCGATTGCCAATAGAAGCGACCGAGCGTGACCGTTCTGGCCGCAGTCGTCTGACTCCGTCCGCCGAAGACGAAGCGGTGTACTTAATCCGCTCTTGTGGTTTTGTGCCTTCGGGCCACCAAGTAGGTGTCGGCTTGGGTGGGCTCGCCCCGTCCGCCACGAGTTCAGTCTTGG